TATTTTAACTAAATAATTGCAGAAAATACATCACTGATCATCACAATAAATATAGCTTTGTTTGTTAATTATTTGTGTGAAAATTAAATGAATATGTGCTTGAGTTTAAATAATAAGCAAAGTTGTTATTATTTTATCTTTTTAGTAAAAATTTATAAATATGGTTCCACAACATGGCACATAAATGGGACTGTGTTGTCCTTAACTATTTATACTGTAAAATCAAGTTATATAAATTCGATCGGCTTATCAGTATTGATAAAATCTAATCTTGATGAGATTATGGCATATTTTTAATTAGGGAGCAATTGCACAAGAGTTCATCAAAAGTATTGATTGTTTTGAGATCATACAACAACATAAAGTCTAAGTACAAATGGGGTAATTTCTGGGGATAAGAATCCGTGCAGGTATTTTATCCACATTATTTCTCTTTTTAATACAATATAATCGATGTAACAATATTGAAACTATGTATAATAATTTCAATTTTCTAATATTTTAAAATAACAAAAATCTTGAACACTTGCATGCGATGAATGATTCTAGTGCCCAAACAACATTAACAATTTCAAAGCTTTTAAAATTTTAATTATGAAAGATAAATGGCCACCAAATTACTTGTATATTTTCAGTGAATTTTATATTGATTAAACTAAAATAATTTTTAATATTAATCACTAGATAAACATCTTGTTTATATGTTAAAGCCAACATTCATTTTATATTCAATTAGAATTATTTGAATTAAATATTGTTGAAAGGACAACTAATTAATATGCGCGCAGTAGAACATGCCATAACAATGCATTTCTTCCTTTTAATATCATTTGCATATGATAGCACAATGTCGAATCAAGTTAAGGCAAATTGGCTAGCACATTTTTATTATCATTGTCAAATCAAACATATGTATTTATAATAACAGAACATGTCAGGATCTGCTCCTATTATTTTGCAATTAAATATCTATTTAAAATAAATCTTTAAAGTGTAGAAACAAAGCAATGCCTAAGAAAAACCAGTAGTTGATTTGTATAATACCATTTAACCAAATAGTAGTTATAAGTCTTAGTACAAATGGCCATTTTGGTTATGTTGCCAGCTCTCCCCAAATGTGTTTAGTTTGATAGTCATGTCAATTTTAGAAATTGTGCATAATTAAAATATAATTTAACCACACATACCCAATTATATCTATGTCTAAATTTTTAAATTCCAATTTATTAAAAGACAAATCTAATATCGTTTTTGAATCCAAAGCAGAATAAGTTTCTTAAAGATGTGCTGCAGGTACTTCCACTTCTATCCTTTCAGTAATTACAATCCCACAAACTTCCTTGCCACTTATACATCTCCATACTGTGATGCTTTCCTCACAATCTCCGTCGGTTTTTACAGTGCAATTCTATCACATCTCTTTCTAACATCGCATATTCATTTACGACTCATAAATATTGCCGTTGTTTATCGAATTATATAGTACTCCTTCAAAACACTTTTAGATCGATTCGGTACTGCTCGGCGGGTCTTATACTCCTCATATTAGCTTTAGAAATTAAGTGTTTTCTAGACGAAGAAGGCGTCATATTCTAGACATTTCGAATTCACAAATACAATGATTTAGACGATTTCTGGGCACTAACTTTTTTGACGGTGCGGATCAATTTCTTTTTCAATTACAACTAAGCATCTGTTGACCGAAGCAATCATCTTATTGGTAGTTTGTATAATGATCTGAAAAAGATGCTATTTTGATCATTTGTTTAAAAATCTTTGATTTAATATTTGTGGATAGTTGAGATAACGAATACTTGCTATTTGAATCACAAGCTATATTCGGTAGAGTGTAATGCCATTTCAACTTCTGAAAGGAGTGATGAATTTGACATTGTGATGTTTCGTACTGTATCTTAATGAATGCTAGCATTGATAGCAATAAACCTCAACTAGAAAATGCAAAGAAGCACATCACACATACGGCTTTGGGTTGTAAATAAAAAGTCAGTTGTCAAAATTTTAATTAAATTTATTAGTAAAAGCGTAAATATTTTGGATGAAAATTTTCAACCAACAGAGATCATTAAGAGTGATATTGTGAATTAAGACTAATTGAATGATCGAATAGTAAAACTTACAAAAAGAATAGTTCGACACAAAATCTAAATGGCCCGCAAAAGCTTATATTGAGGCAATAAATTCATTTATTATTATAATGCTTTCATATTATAGGCGTTGTATTTAAAATATTTGATTTAACAGTAGTTTAACGTGTTTTGATTTATTGTATATGGAATTATTTTGAATGAAAGATTTTCTGTACGTCAAATATCTATTATAGCAATGGTATAATATTGCAAAAGTAAGTCCAAGCAATAAAACCATTCATGCAAATAATATTTTTAAGAAGTTAGAATCAGACAATGTAATCCAAATCCAAGTCGGCTATCTTAAGTTTAATAAAAATGTGTTGTTTATTTGGTAAAACATTGCATTATTTTGTGTATCTAGATGCCAAGACCCTCGGTGCGAAAACGGTAAACAAAAATTTTGTAGTAAGTCAATAAAATTTTAAGCATTGCATATTAGATGATTTGGGTATATTTATTTTACGCTTTTGTTATTAACGATTAAGTATTGCAATTACTTTCACATTTTATATCAAAATAAAAGAAATAAAAGACTTAGAAGCGTGCGAATTATGAAACGAGTGCATAGCTCATTTATATAGGGCATCATTATTTGGTATGTGATAAGAAAAGTGTATTGTCTTGTATAGAAGTTGCTGTATCAGACCATTTATCAAGAAAATACTGGAGACAACATTCAACATTTTGCTGTTATTTATGCCGATTCTAAAGTAACGAACAAATAAATTGAATAATTATTGGTGTGCTGGTGGTTGATTTGCTTTTAATTTTCTAATAAATAGCCTATTTATAACAAATTTACTATAATAAGAATTGGGGCGAGTTTCCCATAGTTAGAATCTACACGGAATCTTCATCAAAAAAGCACTATAAAATAGATTGCACGAGCAACATCTTTGCATTTTAATTATCATAAATAAATAATTTAAATATTAAATGGCATGGCTGGTTATATTATTGTTATTGACACGTTTTCACATATATTTCCATATTGATGTTTGAGATGTACTCTTAAAATATCATCTTTGACCTATTTGCACTATGTTTTATATTTAAAGATCTCAGCCAAAATGCTCAAAGTTTTTATTTTATATATTAATCTAGATTGCGGATCCAATTTAAATTCAAAATGTTTGAACGGTTGGGCTTGTTTTTGTTATTTCCATCAATAGCATGCTCATATTATAAGTTTATAATACAAAAAGCATACATATACCATAATATACTACTTATGTAATGCTCATGAAAATCTTAATCTTGTATGGTGTAAAAAGACAGCACAATGGTCAATCTAAACACAAATATGGTTTACACTTGTTTAGCATGAAATTGAATTTTATTATTACATGTGCTGATTGGTATAGGTAATCAACAGATCTTCTTTTCAACTGAAGCTTTTGTGTCAAATCGGGCATTGACATATATTTGCCAACATATTATCATCTAAACATGCGAGTTTGTACATTTTTACTAAAAATCTTATGTGCTTATTGCATAAAATAAGTGCAAATTGGTTTATTTATACTTCTGTTTATTTTTGTAAAATTGTAGGTTTTCTTCATATACCTGATGGCATTCAACAAATATATTGTATAAACGGTCGAATTTTATCATAAACTTTATAATCTCTTGATGCTTGTATTTTAATATTTTATAAAAGGCTCGTGTTTTAAGATACAAGCAGTTTTATTGAAATTTTTAAGTTTGGCTTTAAACTACCAGAATTCTAATTAGGATCTGTTCCATACTGTTTCCAGAATAATGCGTTTATTTCGAGTTTAAAATAGAATACTAAAAGTATCAAAAAATATTAATCGGTACATATATAGCAAGTCAAATGGCGTTTCGTTCTTATTTTATCTTTTTAAGGTCTAGATAACATGTCTATAAATAAACCCCATGCTCTGATTTAGAACCATTGGAAAATACCATGGTATTTATCTCTAAAATTCTCAGCCAAGATCAATTATGATGAATCGGTGCATAAAGAAAACTTGCTTCCAAATATATTTAAAACGTCATCTAAGTGGCGAGAGTATTTACTTTTACATCAAAACCTTACACGATAACCTTTAAGATAATCTAGCTAGATTCAATAAGAAATTGTCACGTGTGCAATCTCTTAATTTATAAGATATTACACTATCAATTAAATAGCATGTAAATAATTAAAATCATTCTCTACCAGTAAGAATGTTCCTGTAAAATTTTATGTTTCATAGATTTTTATTCATATATTCATACTCTATGAACGTCAATATCCTTCATCAGAATATTAAGTCAAAAACTTAAATCCGCGAAGCTAATTTATATGCCCAGATGTTAAGATGATCTTTCTTGTCAGCTTAGTTAGTCTTTTGTTGATATTTATAGATAAACTCTTGATGTTTGGCCTTTCTCCCATAAGTCTTTTGAATTTTATCATGATTCACTTCACAATTGTGATTGTTGTTTTACTGACTAGTTCTATGTTGCTCTTTTAAGATGTTGTAATATTTAAAGTTTCATTTTTATTAATTCCCAACAAATAAATCTTATTTCGGATACCTCTTAAACTTTGAATGTTTTTTGTTTTATTAATGTTGTTGTCGTATCTGAATATAAACATAACATTTCAAATAATTAATTTTCCACCATCCTCATATTCTATACTTAAAACACTAGAGCTTTTGAGCACATTCATGATTTCATGTTTATTTTTGAATCTATTTCCACATCAGTTTGAATTAAGTTAATGGTTACGTGCGGAAGGAATCTCAATCAAATAAACATTTTCGCCACTTTCATATTGTCATTATGGTATTTCTATTGAAGTTTGATTTGTAATCTTGACATTTAGTTTCATATTGAATGTTCTGTTTAAACTTCATCGGATCCCACCACTCTATATTAGGATCCACCAAGTATTTAGATAGTTACATAATATTACAATTCCACCAAAGCTATCGAATATGCTTTGATAGAATTTTGTATGAAATTGTTGGAGTGCGACTCATATCCCAAGAATTATCTTTCAATTCATCAGAAAAGTTTGTAGATGGTAAAACAAAACATGCCAATACCAGGAGATTTCTAGATAACCTAATAATACATGCCATACTTCATGACCATCCTAGCAATCTTGATAAACTGTTCGGAGTGTTGTCTTGGTAGATATTGCATGTTAGTGCATGTTGTGTTTTCCCGTATTTAAGATAAAGATACACCCGGAATGGAAGTATGTATTTATATCGACTTTTTGCAACATGCATACTTGCCACATTATGGTAGGTGTTTATGCCATATTAATTTGCACCGGATATAACAAATAATAGATGATCAACGAATCACACATACAAATGTTTGGCCCATCGCCTATTATTTCAGGGAAGTCCTTATCAATCGGCAGATCGGGTCTGTTTTAAAGAACGATGCGGATTACCATAGTGCTAACTGCAAAGTCTTTGTCGCCTAATTTTATATCCGAAGTACTCTGTAATTTTGCCAATAGATATGGCACGTATATATTGCATAATCACATTAATCATAATCTGAGGTGTTTAATGAAATTTATTTTGATCTCAAAAGTTTTTATTACTAATATTGTGCACTAATATACATTGATATATTTCGAGAAAGTATGTTTGAATTTCTCTTCAATGTAATTCATGTTTGGTAAAACAAATTTGAAACTTTGACAACGCGCTACAATTTAGAAAGACATACCATTATATGTTCTAAAAATTGCCACACTTATTGCAATGGGATTTTTAATACATTTAAACTGTCGATAAACTTTCAGTCGTGGTTTAGAAATTCGTCCTTTTGTAGTCAAGTAAATAGCAAGTACGTCTACAACAACAATTCAGATCAATATGCACATATAGAGTCGATATATGGTGGCGATTGCTTAACTTACAGAACGGTTCTACATTGCAATAACAAACAACCTTTGCTGATCCTTAGTGGCATAAATGTTCTATCCAGTCCAATTATACAGTGGCAACTAGAATCTTTTCAAATAGTGTATGCCTTGATTGTCTAAACTCCGAAACTCTAAGACATTTTAAGTTCAGCACATTTATTAACTGCGATTCAGTCACAAGGTGATTGTATTGAGAAGTCTTCCATATGAGCTATGCTTTGGTATACATATACAAACTTGTATCTCAAAACGAGGCTCCATGCGCCCATATTATGAAGTGTTGAGTCAATCCATATTTCCATCACATGTTCCAAAAGTAATTTTCTCACCAAATTTCCTCTGTCAATATCGAGTGTCTAGACTAAATGCAATTTTCAGTGATACTTTTTACAAGTGTTGCATAACCGTACTTCTAACAGTCCCCGCAAGTATTTAGCCAATGGCTCGTCTATTTACTTTTGATCAGCATTCACATTTAATGCCGGATAACGGAAAGAGTAAAAGGAAGGTCGGAATTTAATCTTAAATCTTAAGTGTGTAAATTACAAGGTCCATGATATGATTTAAAGGTACCGCTCACAAAACTTTCTAAGCTGTTTAAAATCCAAGATAAAGCGGAGCGGTTTACCATTTTAACTAAAGGTTCATCGTTGGGTCCAAAATCTTGAGTGTTTTATATTTGCCAAAGCACATTCTTTGATAAAAATTCACTTCATACCAAGATAGCACAATGTGGATCAAAAGAATCATATGCACACCAAACAAAGTGAGTTATGAACAGGAGACCATTAGTTAACAGAGATCAAAGAATTGTGCATGATGTCACATCTGCAACTTAGTCATATTTTGTTTTTGGTGCTATATAGAATCAGCTCTTCAATAAACTTGGCATACTTCCTTAAAAATTCAACGTTGTGAAGCAAGAATTCCTATGAGTGGTGTATGGTACGATTGGATAAAAAGCCCAATAGGCAAGTGTCCAGTGGTAAACTATAGAGGACAAAAGATTGATTGGTGTCACCTAGACAATATAATCATTCTGCAAGCTATTCAGAGGGCTAAAGGCGGCTGGACTTCTAAGGTGCACACCTAGAATGCTTTGAGTTCTCTAGAACAGGCATGATACAGTGTGCTGTATAGAAACCATGTTACATCCGAAGTATTTTTGTGTCTCATTGGTGGGAATAGTTGTGGTTGGTGATGTATGATTATAGTTCGG